GCTTTTATTCTTGAATGTAGTTTTTCTTTTATTTGTACTTAGAGTAGCTATATAGTTAGCAGTTTAATGGTCTAGCCTTGACTGCAAGTGTTGGTTTTGCTATAGCATTTATGTAGAAAATTACTTTTTGTACATAGTAGCTCCATGTAGCTTTTAACTTTTAAACTACTAATAAAAATACAAGCAAGGCCTTATCTTAATACCAAAAAAAAAAAAAAAAACATATATATAACATTACAAGAATATATGTCTACTAGTTTTATTTTATCAATTAGACTATTCATATAATTACAAACAAAAGCAAAAAATATTATTATAAAACTTTTATATAAGCTATCTTAAAATTTTATAAATAAATATAAAAACTATATTGCACAAAACTAGTATAATAGAAAAAAAATAACATCTTACAACATACCAAAAATAAATAAAGAAAACCTACTTGAACTAATTATAATGATATATACTATGTTAACAGATATTAATTACATAGTACAACTTGCAATTTATGTGAACTATCATGTTTAAATATATTAATTCAAATACTTGATCCTGCTCTATATAAAATTAATATATAGTTTAACTATTAAATACTTTATAGTTACTCTATAGACAACATTTAATATCTTCAAATCTAAATAAGTTTTAACTACTTTAATAGGTTTAGATTGCAGATAAATTAGATAAATAATAATTAGTTTCTTTCTATAGTCTGAGATTTACTTTTGTAATAAATTTGTAATTAAAATAAATTTTGTAATTTATATTCAAAAAAGTCTCAGAGGCATTTTTAACAAATTAATAAATTATAAGCAAAATTTTATTCTAATTCTAAAAAAAAAAATATTATATATATTAACTAATCCAAATAAATTTTTTTTAAATATTTAATTAAATTTTTTTTTATGCTTTTACTAAACCTAATTTATTAAAAGCTATTTTTTTATTGTAATTTTAATTATAAATTACATATATAACTTGTATAAAGTAAATATACAACTAAGCATATATGTAACTTTTAGTTACTTATTTAAGTAGTCTACTTGCAGGTTCTATACTAGTTGCTATATTTATAATCTACTAGAAGATTATTTATTTAAATACACTGATTTTTATACTATACTAGTTGAAAATCTTGTAGTTTTTATATATCTAAATGTCTTCTAATCTAACATTTAAACTTTTCTTCAGTATAACTATCAAGCTATTATTATTTTTTTAAGATATGTTATCTGACTGTAAGGTTCAAGATGTTTTTTTGTTAACTAACCTACTTATTCTATAAATTATTAACAGATTTATATTTTTATAAAGTTTATACAAATCCCAGTACTAACTTTATATCATGTCTCTAATATTTTTAATATATTTTTACTTTGTACTCAAACTTCTAATTTAGATAGTCTAATAGAACTGTAACTTATTTTTAATATATTAAGTTCAGCTCAATATTCTTTTTTTTTTAATCTGAATTCTAATAACTAGTTGATGATACCTCTTATTTAAAGATTTTTGTCTATTCAATTTCTTTATATTAATATCTGTTTTTTAAATTTAACTTTTATGATAGTATTATTAAAAGATCTGTATTACATCTTTATTGAGATTATTTTAAGTAAACTTAAGTTTTTTGCAATTCTATAAATTTATATAGCACAAAAACTTATTTTGAGTTTGCACTATTCAATACCAGTTTGCATCTTTTTGTATAATTAAAATTATACAAATGTTTTATAACCTGTCAGTCATGCTAGTGTGACCATAGTTACCTAACTGATTGACAGAATGCTGTTGCTATATTACACATATATGCATAGATGATTGTCTAAATTTTTACCATTAATGAGTTTTGAATTCACAACCTACTACTTGAAGAGTTGACAACTTATCCACTTTACTAAATCACTACACCTCTTCTAATTAAATCTAAATATAATAATATAGATAAATAAATAGTATATTAAGTCAGATTTCATTGTTATAAAATTAAATTATAAATTAAATTATTTTTAAACTATTTATCTGTTAAAATAAATAAATAAATTTAACTTTTTAAAAAAATTTTTATTTTTACTCAAATGTAAATCATCTGTTTTATGACTTGTATTATATAATGCATAACACGTATTCTAACTAGGTCAATCAATGAACCTTTGCGGGAATACTGCAATATATAGAAAATCGAGTTTGTTTTGTTCGGACTGATCTGAGTTAATCAAAAATTTTATAGTTTGATTGGCTAGTTATACTGGATAATCTTGTGATGTACGAAATTTCCAAAAAAATAAGTAAAAAATGTAGCCAGTGTCAAAATTTATCGGTAGTATCCGCTCTTCTACTGCTAAATCTTAAAAGTCACATGACTGTCATACATTAAAATGGCAATAAAATTTTAAATAATAATGTTAAGAACTTTTAAGATCAATTTTTTTACTAATAATTACTTGGACTTCTACGTAATAAAGTTGTAGAAAGATAATAATAATTCAAATAATTAAAGTCGACCTAGTGTAATGTAATATATGAGCTAAAAAAGTTCTACAATTCTTTAAAGTTTCTTAAAAATTTTCTAAAAAACTTTAAAGAATTACCAAACTTTTCTGTTTCATATCTCATATTTTACCAACATTCATCCAACCATATGATCAGTCATATTTATCGATATATTGTTTGAACAAAGGCACTGTAACACGATCTGCTGACCTCATAATCTCTCTTTTGAATTCTTATTTTGAGTTTTATAATGTATCTTTTTCTTCTTTATTGATTTTCTTATTTTTAAGTTTTCTTTTTTTTTTTAGAAGGGTTGATTAATTACCATACTTTGAAATGACACCCATGAGTGTAATTTAATGGTTTGGCAGAATTAATCTCAATTCGGGCCAAACTTTTAAACTATATCCCGGGGCGTTATTTCGAGATAATACGGTAGGTTTTTTTTTCAAGAAATGAAGACTAACAATAATCTAAAATATTATAAAGAGCAAATTTGTGCTAAAACTACATTCTTAAAAATTTATTGTACAAAATAATGCATCTTTTTTTTTAATTCTATCTGATATAAGGCTTCACCTGATTATGATGCATATTCATTAAGTTTTAATCATTGTATTTATTAGTTTTATGCTTTTCAAAATAGTTTAGAGATCAGTAAATCTATGTTAATAAAAAAAAAGAAAAGTACAGCATTCAAATAATTACTTGAGCAGGCGCAGAAAAATGAACTTAATCTGATACTGATACACGAGGATTAACCGGATACCAATCAATCGAGGCCAAAACCTGGCACAGAATTTTTACCACGTTATACATGCAGAAATAATGAGTCACGAGGTAAGATATTCAATGATTTCTTTTTCATTCACACGTTCTAGCTTGAAATATGTAATAATTGATAATCAATTAACAAAAGGTATTAATACCATTAATAACTGGTGATTATATTTAGTTACTAACTCAGATATCTATATAACGGACTAGAATTAATATGATACTAATTTCTCATCCAATCTACTCTAGTCTTATGCAAGTTTATAACGAAAAATGCCATCACCAATACCCAACGAAATTCTAAGTGAAATATTTAGTAACCTCAATTTTGAAACTGAAAACTATTTTATTCCAAGTCAAAAAGATTTATTTAGCTGTCTTTTGGTAAATCAGCAATGGTGCGTAAATGCTATTAAGGTCCTTTGGGCCGAACCTATGCCAGTTGATAAAGATAGAGATATGCTTCGAATATACGCCAAAGTTATTAGAATGTATCTTTTGTCTATTGACGGACAAGATAAACAACAACTAATAGATTATGGGCATAGATTTGCAAACTCCAATTCCAAGAATTCTCGTAGATTTCAAAAATCTTTACAAATACTTTATGGTTCAAAAGACTATCCTACTTCTCAATCCGCTCATGTCCTTAATGATTTGCCCACCTCTCAAAAATCTTTGCTTAGTTCATATACCAACACACAATCTTCTCACACATTGTTATTTGATTATCCATCATTTTTACGGTACCTAGATCTTGACAGATTACTACTTGGAATAGTTCATTTAATAAATCCGCGAGCAAAATCCCGTCAATTTGGAGATATTCTAATATTTCAAGCGATCTTAAAAATGCTAGCGAAGCGTTGCAAAAATCTTTTAAGCCTTGTGATCGACAATCAAATGGAGGATTCATTAACCCGATTTGACGATATGTTCATAATGCTTAATCCTGAAGTGCTTCCATTAATCTATCCTATTAAAGAGACTTTTATTACTATTAACTTTCCAATTAATAAGATTTTTTTAACATTATCTTGTTTTTGTAAACATTTGGTTAGTAAATTTTCTTTCTTTTTTACGAATTGAGTTTATTACTTTCTTATATTTAAACTGTTTATAATTATGTAAACATTTTTTAGGAATACATAGAAATAACGACCATCCAACAATTTAATTTGCAAGAAACTGACAATAGTGGCATTGCATCATTGATCGTTTCTCAAATATCACTACGTACATTAGTACTTCGTGGATCATTTCAATTTTTAGATCAAATATTATACGCGCTTCCATCTCAGTCAGCCTCGCTCAAAGATCTCACATTTTCTTGCGCAGATTTTTCCGAATGCGCACCACTACATAGTATAGCAGCATGTAAGAATTTAAGAGAGTTGAGGTTCTGGGAATGTTATAATCTTTCAGATGAAATATGTGAGCCGTTGGTGAATTGTGAATTTGAAAAATTACGTGTCATTGATTTGGAAGAAACCCATAGCAAAATACTGATGGAATGGAAAAATAAAAGAGAGAATAAGGAGGATAATAAATTAGGTTGATGATAGATATATAATGAAGATTTATTACTGAAAAAAATAAAAGTTTCGGAAGCAAACAAAATATTTTAGATTTTGAAAAAAAGTAATAAACTCCAAACTAGCATCAATAAAATCTTTAAATTTTCTGCGCAGTTCTGAATACTCGTAATTCATATGCACTTATATTTAATGCATCTTTAAAAGCTTCAGCGGCATCTATGGTCACGCATAAAAGTCCAGAACTAAACAAAAAAAAAAGCATAAAATGGCGAGTCCGAAGAGAATGAGGATGAAAAGGGTTCATTACTTCATTATTGATGGATATGACCCGATTTCAACCCTTTTATGAAGTAAATAAAAGCTTAAAAAACAACGTCTTCCAAAAATGACAAAACTAGAATATGTGCAATGCGTTAATAGATGGTATAAATACATTCTGTCGCGTAAGTTAGAAATATAAACAGCATCTTCCACTTGCGTTATTTTTAACTTTTAAGGCGATAGATAAACCACCGTGTCATGCGATTGTATTTCCCAAGAAAAATTTTATTTGCACGGCAATCAAAAATTGTGGATGTACATAACGGTTAAATATATACAATAATGTTAATTGATTGAAAATTGATTTAGAACATATAGAATTATAAATCGTATTTGAGTTGTTAAAGAATCATTACGGCGCATTTGTCAAATTTAACTAATTTTTGGTCTCCAAAATTTAAGTTTTGGGGGTAAATTTCATTATTTATTTTTTAAGATTGAACCGCTAAAAAAAATATTTTCCCACACGTTTAAATGTAGTCAATATTTTTATACATTTCAATCACTAATCCTGTTGATGACTAATACAGTAAGCATTGCACTGTTAATACCATTCATTTATAAACAAACCACAAATTGTCGTTAAACATGGAATAGAAATATGTCATTAAAAGTTTAAAAAACGAAGATTTCAATTTCATTTTTTTTCCCACATTAAAAGAATTGAATTAGCTTTATTTACATGAAGGCTTAAAAAAAAGGGTAATTCTATTTTGACCCGGTTAAAATAACCTATCACATAATATATGACTAGTGCTGCTTAATTATTATTCTTTTACTGAATAAAGTTAATGCCAGACCAGCTTGTGCCTATTCAAACTCTCAATTTTCTGAATTTTGTTTGCGCCACTGATCACATAATAGGTCAAAATAATCGGGTTAAAATAGAATTTTTATAAAAAAATAATATAGTGTCGACTTTATAAACACCAGATATGATGTTGAAGTAGTAATTCAAAAATAAGTTAAAAATTAAAAATATTAACGTTAAAGTTATAAATATTTTAACCAAAATTTTTTTATAAAAAAAAATAATTCTTGACAGCGAAATATATACTGACATGACATGACTTCCAGATAAATTGTATTATCAGCATAATATATAAATATTATTTGTGATAAATTTAGCATAATGCGGAGACAGAGATCCAATGATGTCATAGACAAAAAGTCTAACTGTCACATTTATATTAGTCTAATCTACTATAAAGTTAACTGGATTAGAATGATAAATCAAGTTTATTTTAGAAAATAAGTATAAAAATCAATCATTATTAAATAAAACATGATTTTTTTATATTTTGTCTTTCACCTCAAGTAACATTATATGAAAGTGATTTAGATTAGTTTTTTTTAGTAAACAGTACAACATTTAAGTATTGAAACTATATACTATATAAAATTTTACTTTAGTGAGAATGACAATCCTAGTACAGTAAAACCTTTATAAATGCATACCTTTGGGACCAGGCATGCATGTGTACTTTAGAAAGAATGTGCATTTAGAGATTAGCCAATTAGATTTAACACAAAACTTTTATTCTAATTGGCTAATTTATGTAATTATTTTATGATTACAAAATTTTATTAGCTAATAGAAAATAAATTTTAAGTAAAAAATGTTATATATAAATTAGTAGAAAATATTTTTAAATTATAAATTTTAATTTTATAATAATAAAGTTTAATGCATTAGGTTTAATAATATTTTTTTTGATATTGAGATGAGGTCATGCCTTTTAGTCTTTATTAGTATATTTGTTATAGTCAGTATATTTCTATATTATACATTATCTATTACTATATATCTATTTAGACATAGAACTCAAATGTATTTATCTGCAATCTAAACCTCCTAGAGTTTTGTATTGTGTTCTATTTACACCTAACCTGGATTTTTGTTTTACTACCAATTATATTAGATAGCCTGCAAATTCTTTTCATATTTCACAACTTATTTTTAACAACTTTTAAATTGGTTCACTGAGTTATTTGCTCTTTTTGAGTTTCTATCTTTGGTTTGTCTAAAAGGCATTTCTCTAGCATATATCTCAAGTTAAGGTCTTACTAACTTTCCAATTTAAGTATTAGTAGTTACTACTGTTGCTGGTTTGCAATCCTCTTAATCTTAGTGTCATTTTCAATAGTTTATACATCTAACCTGCCTTTTAAGTATTTTTTTTTTATAGTATAAATAGAATTATATTTCAGAGATAGATAATCATTATTTTTGAACTATTGGTAAAGTTTCTGTTACTATTATTCAATACTACAAATTTTTTTTTGTTTTGTAAACAATCTTTCTGTCTTTTTAAGAACATTTTATTCTGAATTTACATTTAAACTAAGATGTTTATACTGTGTTAAGTAGATTTCTATTTCCAATTTAGATATCTCAATCTTAATTAGTATAGCATCAAAGATGTTTTCAATTTTAATAAGGTTAATCCTTTATTATAAACCTTTTATACATATACTATTTCTCTTATTACTACAGTTTGTATTATCTTAGTATTACCCTTCTAATCAAATACTTTGCAAATTAGATACAGAGATGTTAGTACTGTTCTATCTCTAGAGAACTTATATGCACAACTTTGAGTATAACAAAACTTTCTATAGTATCACTGTTACATATAATGCCCACATTCTATATAATTAGTTTTCTTCTAGAAATTTCTTTTTTTATTATATACTGCACTTAGACTTGACCATAGAGTTTCATGTTCAATTACAGGCTCTTGTAGGTTACAAAGCCTAAAATCTTTCAAATTTTGTCTCCAACTGAACTTGAACTGTTGATCTTGACTATAAAGACATGAGAACTTAACTACTAATCTATGAGATTTACATTTTGTTTTGACAATAATTATAAAATATGTATTTGATTAAATTTAATAAAAAATATAAAATTTAAAGCTTAACAGTTTCTTAATACTGTAATACATATAAATAATCTTTATTAATTGAATTGCTTACTAATTAGTACATTGTTTAATAACAAAACAACAAGATAAATAATAAATAAGTACTATTTATTTTTTACAGTAGCAGAAAATAAGAATATTATTTTTTATTTTATATAATATTATGATAATATTTTTTGATTTAAATAATTTTAATTAGTATAATAAAAAAATAACTATAGAAAGATAATTGTAAGTTTAATTTTGTTTTAATAATATAATTATACTATTATGCTGACTAAAAGAATTATAAAAGCTTTTTGCTCTAAATAACTATTATGTTTTATTAAAAATTTTAAGATCTTCATTTTAGTAGTACTATTGTAATAATTAAAACTTTTGTCAAAAATAAAACTATTATATAAACTAAAAAAATTTTCTTTAAATCTTATAATATAAAAATTTAAAGTACATCTTAGAAAATAACAAGAAATAATAAAAAATAACAAATAATATTGAAGAAATAACAACTATTACTTTAAAATTAATTGCTAATTAAAACAATAATTATAAATTAAAAAACTTATTATATAATTATATAGAAATATAAAATAATATAAATTAATTAAAAAAAATTATTAAATATTAATAAAAATAATATATATTCATAAAAAGAAAAGATAGTATAAAAAACAAATATTATTTATAAACAAAATATATAATTATATATATTCTATATATATTTTATGTTTAATATATTGTAAAACTTAGTTAAATAACCTTATATTTAAAAAAATTAAAAAACTAATAAGTATATTGTTAATTAAGATATAATTCATCTTGTTGATTACTAAATTACTTTAATTTATAAAAAAAATACATTCTATTACTAACTTCTAAATTAATTAACTTTTAGATACTTGGTAGATTATAAATTTGAAGTGTATTTAAAATAGGTGATTTAGATTTAAAGAAAGAAAATTTATAAATAAAGGTCCAAAAAATAAAAATAATTACAAAATTAAAAATTATTATATAGAAGGCTCTATTTTTTTAAAAAAAATTATTATATATAAGAGTTCAAAATAACTGATATTATTCAAGCTTGTGGTTTAATTGCTATTGGTATAAAAAATATAAGCATTAATAAATATAGTTATTAAGTATATAAAAAATATAATAAATAATTAATTGTAAATTAATAATTATAATATAAAAAAAATTTTTTTTTTTTTTTAACTTAAGCAGTCATGCTAGTACTTTATTAGAATTCTTGAAACTATACAAATTACAGAGAAT